AGCGCTCTAACGTGCAATGTGAACGGAAAGCGTACTTTGAGCGGAAGTGAGCTAGTGACGTTGCGTGCGAAACATGTAGTACGGTACATACGGTTTGGATTCCGCGCGCGAAAAAAATGACCCGCCTACCTGAGCTGCCATAGCAACAAGACCACTTTGACTCGTGGAGCGGTTTGAGCCATAAAAAGTGATCGGAGTGTGAACGCTCGCAAACCGTTCCTCAAGACCCGTTCCTCTGGAGCGGTCTGGAGCGGTCTAACTTGGAGCGCTCTCAAAGTGAGTGAGAACGGGGTCTAAGAGCGCTCTGGAGCGCTCTTAATAAGACCCGCTCCTCAAGACCACCTCGGAAGGTGGACTTCTGGAGCGGTCCAGAAGTCCGCTTCCTGGACCACTTTGAGCGTTCTCACTCACCTAAGAACCGCTCCTGAGGAGCGGGTCTTAGAGGCTGTTCACACCGGCAGAGAAAGCGCGGTCTAGCGCGCGCTAGACCGCGCTATCTCTGCGGTATGGAAGATACAACGTCGTTTCGGTCCGCCCAACAGCGAGCCAAGGCGAGCCACGGGGACCCAACACTGGAGCACCTCTTGGGGGTGGTCCACGAGAGATAGCGCGGTCTAGCGCGCTAGACCGCGCTATCTCTGCCAGTGTGAACCCGAGCTACGATAGCACGCCGGATTTCATCGTTCTACACGCGGGGAATTTTATACTCATTCTATTTTGGTGCGATCTGAATCTGAATCGGTAAAATAGGCCATTTTCGTAATGTAACCAAATTGAATGCATAAGTGTTTGTGAAGTGCCTCAATACAAAGTATTTCATTCACCTGACAGGAATAATAGGATTTCAATAGTCAGAATGCAACTGCATATATTAAGTGTTGCTATATAGGTCAAGCCATAATGCTTGTCCAACCTGACAACAACTAATGTATGCAGGTTGGATTCTGTCTATTGAAATACTATTATTCTTATCAGGTGAATGAAATCATTTGTATTGAGGCACTTCACAAAGACGTTTGCATTAAATTTGGTTACATTACGAAAATGGCCTATTCAACATTCCTAATTAGTAATAGCACGCGAAATCTTTGACCGCTCTGACCTCATGACGTCACGCGTCATGACAACAGGACCTCTCCAAAAAGGGGGTGCTATGATAGACCGCGCTATCTCATTGCGGTGTGGATCCGGCGAATGCCAATGGGCGGACCGTGGGTCGCGCTACGATAGCGCGATCCACGGTCCGCCCACGGTCCCCCCTTGCGGTGTGAACACGCCCTTAGAGGCTGTTCACACCGCAATGAGAGTCTATCGTAGCACCCCCTTTTTTCTAGCGCGCGCTAGACCGCGCTCTCTCTCGTGGACCACCCCCAAGAGGTGCTCCAGTGGCAAGCCGTTTTGGCTCGCCGTGGCTCGCTGTTGGGCGGACCGAAACGACGTTGTACCTTCCAAACCGCAGAGATAGCGCGGTCTAGCGCGCGCTATCTCTGCCGGTGTGAACAGCCTCTATGTTAGAGCGCTCCAGAGCGCTCCAACGAAGTGAGTGAGAACGGGGTCTAATCACTTACGTACACGCCTCAGCTGTTGCTAGTACCATAATTATGTATATTCCCAGGACAATGCTGTCGGATAAAGCTGTTGTCTGTTTGATGATTTTGCTTGTTTTAGTTTTCAATGATTATGTACCCGCTGTCTATTTTAAAATTATGATGTAATCACAGACACATGCACAGCCCAATTAAGGTAACATTCTCTTTATAAGTGAACATGCCTTCCCATATATACTTAATTCTCTCCTCATTTTTTTTTCTTCTCTCCGTTCCATTTACTATTTTTGTTCTTTCCTATCAACTTTCTGTTATATAAAATGTAATTTTCATAAAAATATCTATAATGTTCTCTCGGTAACTGTTAATTTATTATGGGCGTTCCCAACTCAAGTTATGCTTTCCGGGTTTTCGCCTCCTTTCGTATCTGAATTATTTACTGTATACTCTATGTTGACATTTATTGTTACATATATCATGTATATATACATTGTGTTTCATATTGTACTGTTGAGAAGGAAATAAATGTTAATAAATACAAAATCTGTATTTCCTTGTTTTTCCTTCTCCCTATCCTCTCCACTATCCTTGTTTTCCCCTTTCTATTATCTTTACTTCCCTGGGTGTACGTGCTTGCACATAATAGTGCGCTGACGACTTAGGTTGCGTTTATCGACCAAATTTTTGGCTAGAATCAGGTTTCTCAAACGTCTTTCAGGCAAATTTAGAAGGTGATAAACGCAAAGCTATTTTTAAAGGGCTTTAGATATGGGCATATCTAAAGACGCAAAAAGGTGTGTTTTGAATGTGACATACAGCCAGAATCACGTTTCTGAGAGATCGATAAACGCAAAGCTGTTTTGAACCTCACATACAAATAGGAATTCCCAGGCTAGTTTCCGGTTCGGAGAAATAGCGCTGAGCAGCTGCGAAGAGACAAGGCCTTTATTGTGAATCGTGAAGAGTCGATAAACGCGACATCTCGCAAATCACGATCGTATAGTGGGGTTCGATAGTGGGGTATGATAGTGGGGTTCGATATGTACATATCTAGTGGCAAGCCCCGATAAACGCGCCCATAGACTCTTTCACAAGTGCCCTTCTCGGAAATGGCTAAAACATACACAACTGTTGTGTAAAAAAAACATGCGCTTCCGGGAGGCGACTTTGCGTTTTACACCCTGGTCTGGACCTTTTCCCAATAAATTTCAAGGAACCGACTGGGAAAAGTCTATCCATGACAAGATATTGCGCGCGCACGTAGCTCTTCTGCAATGCTCAACGTACGTCCTATATGTCCAGTGTCGCGGTACGCGGTACATGTACTTTTGTATCGAGACGTACGAGTGAGAGAAAAACAACGAATAACAACAGAAGGAAATAGAGAAAAACAATAAATAATTAAAGAACAAAGAGGAAACAAAGAATGTCATAAGCAGAGAGAGAAAACAAAAACTAACTTGAAAGAAAGAGAGAAATTAGAGAAGGAATTAATCAAAGTAAGGAAAGAGAGAAACCAAATAATATTATGGTTTTTGTGGTTTAATTCCGCCTTCTTCAGGGTTTCAATTTTTGACGTGTAGCCTACTTTCAAACCATTTGCTGATTCGGACCCCCCCCCTAACACACGTGTACACATATCGACACATACACAGACTACACTCGACATAATATGTGTAATGGTAATGTAATACATAAACTGTGATTTAAATATTGCACTCGTACCATTTTCTATTATTGTGGGATCACGTCTTTCATTTTTTAAATTCATGTCATTTGTTTCTAAGACCTAATTTCTCTAATTCTCTTGACCCCTCTCCCTTCATATTTGTTTTCTAAGACCTCCCCCCCCCCCTCATCTCTCTTCATATTTGTTTTCTAAGACCCATTTCTCCCCGCCCCCCCCCCATCTCTATTCATATTTGTTTTCTAAGACCTCTCTCTCTCGACCCACTCTCTCTCTCGTATGTATTTCTCAGACCCCTCTTTCTTTCTCTCTCATTAACCCCCTCTTCATATTTGTTTCTAAGGCCTCTCTCTCTCTCTTCATATTTGTTTCTAAGACCCCCCCCCCCTCTCTTTCTCATTTCTTGATATTTGTTTCAACGACCTCTCTCTCTCTAGCTCTCAATTCATGATATTTGTTTCTAAGACCCCCTCTCTTTCTCACTTCTTGAATTCATATTTGTTTCTAAGACCTCTGTCTCTCTCTCCCTTTCTCTCTTTCTCATTTTAAATTCATGATATTTGTTTATAAGACCTCTCTTTCTCTCTTTTTCCATTCATCACTTTGTCTAGTGTAATGTACAGACACATATATAGGGGGTAGAAACAAATATGAATTCAAGAAGTGAGAAAGAGAGGGGGTCTTAGAAACAAATATCATGAATTGAGAGCTAGAGAGAGAGAGGTCGTTGAAACAAATATCAAGAAATGAGAAAGAGAGAGGGGGGGGGGGTCTTAGAAACAAATATGAAGAGAGAGAGAGAGGCCTTAGAAACAAATATGAAGAGGGGGTTAATGAGAGAGAAAGAAAGAGGGGTCTGAGAAATACATACGAGAGAGAGAGTGGGTCGAGAGAGAGAGGTCTTAGAAAACAAATATGAATAGAGATGGGGGGGGGGGGGCGGGGGAGAAATGGGTCTTAGAAAACAAATATGAAGAGAGATGAGGGGGGGGGGGAGGTCTTAGAAAACAAATATGAAGGGAGAGGGGTCAAGAGAATTAGAGAAATTAGGTCTTAGAAACAAATGACATGAATTTAAAAAATGAAAGACGTGATCCCACAATAATAGAAAATGGTACGAGTGCAATATTTAAATCACAGTTTATGTATTACATTACCATTACACATATTATGTCGAGTGTAGTCTGTGTATGTGTCGATATGTGTACACGTGTGTTAGGGGGGGGGGTCCGAATCAGCAAATGGTTTGAAAGTAGGCTACACGTCAAAAATTGAAACCCTGAAGAAGGCGGAATTAAACCACAAAAACCATAATATTATTTGGTTTCTCTCTTTCCTTACTTTGATTAATTCCTTCTCTAATTTCTCTCTTTCTTTCAAGTTAGTTTTTGTTTTCTCTCTCTGCTTATGACATTCTTTGTTTCCTCTCTGTTCTTTAATTATTTATTGTTTTTCTCTATTTCCTTCTGTTGTTATTCGTTGTTTTTCTCTCACTCGTACGTCTCGATACAAAAGTACATGTACCGCGTACCGCGACACTGGACATATAGGACGTACGTTGAGCATTGCAGGAGATCAGAGCTACGTGCGCGCGCAATATCTTGTCATGGATAGACTTTTCCCAGTCGGTTCCTTGAAATTTATTGGGAAAAGGTCCAGGCCAGGGTGTAAAACGCAAAGTCGCTTCCGGGAGCGCTTCCAGCGCGCCCTTATGCAGTTTTGCATCACTGCACTGCACCAGTGATATACTGTACCGTATATAGCGCACGCACGAACGCCTGTGGCATATTTTAGGTCGCCATTTTAACGAGTAATTGTTTGCATACGACATACTTTTTTGTTTGCAGGTGATTCAGAAAGAGATATTTTCACGCCATGGCAGTAAGTGAGATCACTAGTATTTCTAACTTTGAGAGTTTGCTTGTTTTACAGTTGTTTCGACCAAATTTATATTGTGTAGATCTACTGTCAGTTTATTTTTGTTTAAACTCTAATAATTCGCGATGAATTCAGTCTTTACTCTTTGTAACTAGGTCTATGTTCCCTTTAGATGCACATCGCCTGCCTTCGCTAAATCTCTTATTTTTTAACCTTATAATTTCAACTTTGCATTATGTATTTCAGGATATTCAAACCCAAGATTTTAACTATATACAAGTCAAACTGATATATCTATCTGAAGCGAATAACAGCCTTGCAAATTAGTACGATATTATTTAAACATATTTGGGGCCTGTCACCACGAAATGAGTCCAGTTGGTCAACAATTTTATTCCTGTTTTTAAGTATTATATGAATCTACATTAAGTAAGCTTTAAATTAAGGGGTCACACATTAAAATTTATAAATTATATCCAGAAATATGAACAAAAACCTAATTGGACTTTATAAACAATGGGATTACCCAGTTTTGAGATAATTAGGTGTAAAGTTAATGATGCGTAACATAGCCTATATTATTTGCCAAAAAATGTTAGAAGGAGATATTTTCGTGACCTAAGCTCTGGGGACTTAAACTACAAGACATTAATAAGTTGATTTTTGGAAAAATCTTAAATGTGGTAGGTGGGTCAATTTTCAGTACATACACATCGCTATTACTACGATTGAGCCTAACCCATAGGAAAGTGAAAAGTCTGCCGCAGACCTGCCGCAGACCTGCCGCAGATCTGCCGCAGACCTGCCGCAGACTTTTAGTCTGCGGCAAAGAGTATGCCAAAGTATGCGGCAGAAAGAAATTTTGCTGCAGACTTGCCGCATACCAGTATGCCACAGGAACAGTCTGCGGCAGATCTGCGGCAGGATGAAATTTTGCTGCAGACTTGCCGCATACTAGTATGCCACAGGAACAGTCTGCGGCAGATCTGCGGCAGGATGAAACTTTGCTCCAGACTTGCCGCATACTAGTATGCCACAGGAACAGTCTGCGGCAGATCTGCGGCAGGATGAAATTTTGCTGCAGACTTGCCGCATACTAGTATGCCACAGGAACAGTCTGCGGCAGATCTGCGGCAGGATGAAACTTTGCTCCAGACTTGCCGCATACTAGTATGCCACAGGAACAGTCTGCGGCAGATCTGCGGCAGGATGAAATTTTGCTGCAGACTTGCCACATACTAGTATGCCACAGGAACAGTCTGCGGCAGATCTGCGGCAGGGTGAATCTTTGCTCCAGACTTGCCGCATACTAGTATGCCACAGGAACAGTCTGCGGCAGATCTGCGGCAGGATGAAATTTTGCTGCAGACTTGCTGCATACTAGTATGCCACAGGAACAGTCTGCGGCAGATCTGCGGCAGGATGAAACTTTGCTCCAGACTTGCCGCATACTAGTATGCCACAGGAACAGTCTGCGGCAGATCTGCGGCAGGGCGAAACTTTGCTCCAGACTTGCCGCATACCAGTACGCCACAGGAATAGTCTGCGGCAGGTCTGCCACAGGAAATCCCATTAAAGTCTAATAGGGCCAATTGAAACCAATCATCTCATGCATATTCATTATTACTTTACACGTGTGACAGAAAAATACATTTATCATGATTTGTTAAGCAAATTAAGACAATGCACATCATTTTTGTGATTTCTATTTTCCTTTTGCCATTATTAACCAATAGATTATTTTGTCTGATCATGTTACAATTACATTCACGTTTAAGCAATAGATATATTGATTACTAACCAAGAAACTATGATTACTAACCAAGAAACAATATACATATTTAGTATATATATATGTGTACGAGCCTGTGTCACTTTAAATGTTACTCTTGAATACACTTCAAATGATCAATGTGATGAAGTTAATACAATTGAGAATAGAATATACCTAATTGGTAATATCGATATATATTGGTATTACCTAATTGGTAATATCGATATTGCCAATATCGATTATGAAGTATCAATCAGTTTATCACTGGTTCTTCTACATGCACACTTTATTGCCACGTACTGGATATGAAAGAGTATGCGGCAGGTCTGCAGCAGGTCTATACTCCTGCGGCATACTCCTGCGGCATACTCCTGCGGCATACTCCTGCGGCAGATCTGCAGCAGACCTACCGCAGACAGTCATCTTTTTCACATGCAAATTAGTTTTGCCGCAGACTTGCCGCAGACTTGCCGCATACTCTTTCAGTATGATGAAGAGTCTGCGGCAGGTCTGCCGCAGACTTGCTGCAGACCTGCCGCATACTCTTTCAGTATGATGAAGAGTCTGCGGCAGACCTGCCGCAGACTTGCTGCAGACTCTTCATCATACTCTTTCAGTATGATGAAGAGTCTGCGGCAGGTCTGCAGCAAGTCTGCGGCAGACCTGCCGCAGACTCTTCATCATACTGAAAGAGTATGCGGCAAGTCTGCGGCAAGTCTGCGGCAGACCTGCCGCAGACTCTTCATCATACTGAAAGAGTATGCGGCAAGTCTGCGGCAGACCTGCCGCAGACTCTTCATCATACTGAAAGAGTATGCGGCAGGTCTGCAGCAAGTCTGCGGCAAAACTAATTTGCATGTGAAAAAGATGACTGTCTGTGGCAGGTCTGCTGCAGATCTGCGGCAAGTCTGCCGCAGGAGTATGCGGCAGGCTCATTTCTTTCCTATGGGAATGCGACACTGGACTCATTTCGTGGTGACTGGCCCCATTTGTGGCTTACACCCAGTAAATAAGATCGATTGATCGATCTGTATTGAAAAACAAGTCAGAAAAAATCTTGGAACCAGCGGGATTTGAACCTGCATCTACTGCTTGCCGGGCAGCGACTCTACCACTAGGCCATCACAATTTCTCCCAGGAAGCATTACATTTATAATAGTACGATATTGTTTTTTTAAAAAGTGCATTAATCCTTTGTCATGAAGAACTTGGCTTTTGTGTAAGCTGAACTTGAAAAACATAGGACAATTCAATAGACAAACGGCAGAGATTTCGGAAAAGGAAACTTGTAAACGATTGAGCAGAATTGGGGAATTTCCAGGGGGAATTTCCATTTTCATTATGATGAAGTGTGATGTCATGTAAATATAAGTCATCTCCCATTTATTTTGTATGCTTAAATTACACAGAGTATCGGTCTGCAAATTTATCACGTGATGTCATATTTATTTTATAAGCTGAGCCTTTCTAGATCATATTACAAGGAACTTTCTAGATCATAAGGAACTTTCTAGATCATAAGGAACTTCCTAGATAGGCAGCTTATAAATATCACGTGATGACGCAGTCCATTAAAAACAGCCATTGGACTTTGGAATACACAACTCCGGAAACACCGAAAGTGCAATACACCAGTGGCGTACGCAGGATTTTTTCAAGGGGGGGGGGGGGGGGGTAACATTTTTAAATCGGGCCGAAAATTTCGCAACAGTCAGCCAGCCACCGAATAAGCGAGGGGGGGGGGGGTAAGAGCACATTTTTTTTCATTTATTTATTTATTTATTTATTTATTTATTTATTTATTTATTTTTTTTTTTTTTGGGGGGGGGGGGGGGAGTAAGGTCAGCTTTTTTGGGTCACCCATTACCACAATTTTTTTTTTAATTATTATTTTTTTTATTCAAAAAAAGATTGAAGGGGGGTCTTCAAAACAACCACATAAAACAGTTTAAGGGGAGGGGGAGGTTCAACCCCAACCCCCCCCCCCCTGCGTACGCGCTTGAAATACTCAATAGATATATCTGTATAACAAACTATATGACGCACCTGAATGTGACAAAGTCTCCTCAATTTGAGAAGTTTTATTACATTTTTATTATGATCCAATTTTTACTTTTACCAATTTTGAAAAACTTTTTGGTGTACCTTCCGACAAGTTTGTAAACTTTCTTATTTTACTGGTGAAATATTATATTCATATCTGCAAATTCAAAGATCAGATACTAAATATTATTGCTTTCAAATCATTCGTTAAAAACAAAAGGAAATAGAATATTATTTGGACAAAAAGAAAAATAAACTTCCTGTGCATTTTAGAAAATGGAGGTTAAATTTTTGACAAGTTGTCCCGAAAATATTTGGCCGATCGATATTTCGTTCCGTTGGGGGGGGGGGGGGGGGGGGTAAGGTCACCTTTTTTTGGTCACCCATTATCACCCTTTTTTTATTTAAAAAAATTGAGGGGGGTTGCCCCCCCCCCCCCCCCCCACTTCGTACGCGCCTGGTACCAATCATTATTGATGACCTGTAAATATTTTGATATCAGTTTTAATTTAATAAAACATACAAATACAAAAACGAAATGACGCACCTAACATTTGCAGTCATTGCCCCAAGTTTTATTTTAAAGAAATATTTTCACGTCCCGTTGGTTAGTGAGATCACTCTTTGTATGTCTAACTTTGAGATTTTGCTTTTTTTACATTTGTTTCGACCAACTTTTTTTTTCCCTCTTCAGAGGTATTTATTTGGTTATAAAATACATTTAACATCAAAATAATTGAAACAGAAATATACATTAACTTTACTCTTGTGAGATCTTTACAATCAGGTAAAATCAAGGGCTATAATGGTTTAAAAACATGCCATACTGCAAGACTGTTCTAAGTTTTCCCTTGGACATAGCTTAACATGTATAGTTTATATATTGCATATTGTGCATAATAATTGTAATAATTACATTTATATATTTAGTGTTGTAACAATTAGAATCTGCACCAACAATCAGGTATTTTTCGTTTATTATCAGTGTTTCCTTGAAGTTATAACGAATAAATGCAACAACGTTTTCCAGAAGAATAATACTGCATGAGAAATAAAATCATTTGAATCGAATATCATATTGGGCACCAACTGATCCTCAAATGCTTTTCCATTTGAGCTTTGTTTGCTTATTGTGTTAGCAAAAGGAGAAAAAAAGAGGTATATTGTGTAAAATCAAATATTAACAGCACCCTGAAATTATGAATACATTCATAATGCAGAGGCATATCAGTTAAGAGACGATGTACATTTCGCAATGAAACCAAAACGATAGCAATAATACAAATTAAACCTTGCTATAATCTTGAAAATGAGGAATTCTCAATTGAATGTTGCGATTAATTCAAATTGATCGCAACTTCACCAGAGATTGAGAAACCCTGCTTCAAACTTGTAACTTGAAGCTTGTGATTCACGGGCTTACGATCTATTTTAACCTATCGCAACTCTATAGACCTATGACTCTTTTTATAATACTATAAAACTAATGTGCATGCAATAATGCATGGATGTGTCCAGATTTCTAGGGGGAAAAGGGGGAAATTCCAAAAATAAAGTTTGTGGCAAGAAAACAAGGTACATTTTTTTCTTCTGTACTTGAGGGATGCTGATTGGGCTTTAAAGGGGGGGGGGGGGCATGGGTCAGCTGTGCTGCCCATTAAATACATGAACATGGATGTGCATTATTTATCTGAGGTTAGTATTTTTTAGTAGCTATAAATTATTTGTATTCTTTATGATAATGAATCGTTTCTCTACCATTTCAATTTCTTAATCTAGCCACCTAAACCTGATCCAGCCTATGATGCAATGCTAAGGGCATTCGAAGCCGGTGCACGCGGTCAGCAGACCACAGTAAATAATAATTATGTAAGTTTGGTTATTTATTTAGCGCGTTATTATTAATAATTCTTTACTTGCGTTGATACCCTTTTCAAGGGTATAATGCGCTCCATAAGAACTGTATTATTATTATCATTATTATTATTATTATTATTATTATTATCAGTTTTTGTTTGTTTAAAACGATTGCAAAGACTTTAAAAAAATTAACCTAAAGCAATTTCAAAAATTCTAAAGGGAATATAATAGGGCATTGAAATTGCCCTTATATTATTGATTTCCTGAAAGTCTCGGCGATTGTTTTTTGGTTGTTGTTGTAATCATCAACATAGTGAAACCTGTCTATAAAGACCACCTATAAGGGAGACAAAAAAGGTAGTCTCCATAGGCAGGTGATCTTTATGTACAGGTCCCCTTAGTACTGTTTCGAAGAGAAAACATTTCCAAGGGAAACAGAAAATGTGGTCTTTGTAGACATGTGGTCTTTCTAATTCTATACAGGTGGTCACTAAAGCAGGTTTGACTGTATTATAATAGTAATACTTGATATTAATACAATTAGAATAACAAAATACAACAGCGGCTGATAGAGGGGGAAATGTTCATTTTTATACAAATTATGTGATCAGAAATGTAATTGCATATACTTTTCTGATTCAACAAATTCAAAGAGGAAAACTGATTGCAGCAAATACATTTGTCTCATTTAGGGGGGGGGGGGGGTATTTTGTATACATTTTTTTTCGGGGGTGGGGAGGTGGGTAAAAGTCCACATTAAATGCAATGCAGTATTTTAGTACCACTCTTTTTATTTATTTTTCAAAGAAGATTAAAGGGTATATAAACGTCAATAGAAGCATTACAGCCCATCTGCACTAGTTTGGCCAGGAGGGATTGGACCTCCCTGTATTCTCACTGGCAGGTGGCTATCTCATCAAATCAGCTCTCAATTAACATTAGAAAAAGGGGACCATGGGGGATCAACGGATAACGCTAAAGCATTGTTTGCTATTATGGAGGGCGCAAGTATACCGTAGTGCAGTCCCGCTTCAAAGGACGGGCGTCAAAAGATAATAAAGACGCTTTAAGAAAGTGGATATTCATAGTGTTATTGAACTCTGCGCGATGCTTACCTGCAGTTTTCTATATATCCCACATTTTGAAATGTAATGGCAACAACAATGGCAGTGTGTAACAGGCTGTGGGAAACACTGTGGCCCGAATTCACAAAGGAGGTTTGTCGACAAACCTTGGTTTTCGTACGTCATATAACGCGTTTTACGCGTTTTTTACAAACCTGGTTTGTAAAGAACAAAAGGAGGTTTGGCGAAACAAAAGGAGGTTTGAGCTCAAACCTTGGTCTGAGCTCAAACCTTGCTTTGTGAATTCGGGCCTGTCAGTTTAACAGTGTAGTAGATATTTTCTATAAACTCGCTGATTGGATTGATGGCGCGCGGGGGTGGGGTTTTTTCGGGGGAGGGGGTGGGGGGGGGGGGGCATTGATACAGAATAAAATGTTATGGTTTATTTTCCCCTGCCTTTATCCTCGGGAAAAAGACACAGAAAGAGAAAAGAGAGATAGAGAGTGAGTTAGACCAGAAGAAGAAAAGAAAAAGAATGGAAAAAAGGAATTAGGAATAGAGACATATAGAGGGAGAGAGAGAGAGTGAGATCAGAGAAAAGAAATGGGAAAACGAATATAATGACAGAAAGTTTGAACGAGAAAATTAGACAAAGACAGGATAGAAAGAAATAATTCTTAACTATTGTTTTTTCATTCCTTCTATTTCCTTTAGTTCTTGGACAACAGCACCAGGATAGGTCACTACGCCCCTAGCTCCACGACCTGGACAGCCCCACAGCCCCAGAACTACGCGCCCCAGAACTATCAACTCCAGAGCTACCCGTTGCAGAGCTACTATTATTCCCAGCAGGGTTACTCCAACAACCTATATCCACCCATCTGCCCCCCTGGCCAAATCTTGCCCCAAGTGAGTTCTATGCGTACGTGCCCTGCTTAAACTGTCACCTTTTGGTTTAGTAAAGGCGTGGGGGGGGGGGGGGAGACACAGAAAGAGAAAAGAGAGAGAGAGAGCGAGTTAAGAAAGAAAAAGGAGGAAAACAAAATCAGAAAATGAAGAAGAAGAAGAACGGAAAAGAAAGAAGAAGAAGAAGAAGAAGAAAAGGAAGGAGGAATAGAGAGAGAAAGAGATCAGAAAAAAGAAATGGGATAACCAATGAAAGAAAGATTGAACAAAAAAATCAGACAAAGACAGGATAAAAAGAATCAATTTGAAGATATTTGTTTTCTTTTGTTTTATTCCTTCTATTTTCTTTAGTATGTGGACAACCGCAACGGCATGGCCGTACCATACACCACGCCGCCTATCTTCATGCCTGGGACCGCCCCACCGCCCAGCTTCCCGCCCCCCGTCTTCTGGCCCCCACAGGGCTGCCCCAGCAGGGTTACTACAATAATTATTCTCCAGCCTCCCCCTTCTAGTGAGTTCTATGCGTACCCTGTTTAAAGATAAACTCCAGTACTGGTAAAAAAAAAAAAATTAATTCTCACAGAATCAAACGAAACTTACACTGAATGTTCAAGATTACAAATAAATGACATGTGCCAAACAATTTTGGAAGAAAATGTATACTGGCTGAGTAATGAGCATAGAAAGACAAGGAAACCAAGGTAGTACCATCCCCGACACCATGTGTGTTGTCCCATATACAGCTTTCTATGTGAGTGTTTGTTACTTTACCAAGACTCGGTCAAATTTATTATGATTTTGATGACTCCAGAACCTTGCAGTGCACACCAATACTTAAATGCTCCATGATCAACTGTTCTGATCCTTTCACACCTTTTCTTTCACAATGCAATCGCATTACCAGTACTAAAGTTTATCTTTAAACTGTAACCGTTTGGTTTAGTACAGGGGCGGGGGGGGGGGGGGGGGGGGGGGGCGAGAGAGGAAAAGACACAGAAAGATAGAAGAGAGAGAGAGAGAGGGGGAGAGAATGAGTTAGACAAGGAGAAGAAAAGAAGACGAAAATGAAGAAGAAGAAGAAGAAGAAGAAGAAGAAGAAGAAGAAAAGGAAGGAGGAATAGAGAGAGCGAGAGAGGAAATTATATATAGACAAAGACAGGATAGAAAAATTCAATTCAAAATAAAATTTGTTTTGTTTTATTCCTTCTATTTCCTCTAGGACGTGAACAACCGCACCGGCAACCGCACCGTCGGATGACACACCACACACCTCACGACCAATCAATCACGGACAGAAATCACGACTTGCCACGCCCTCGGTCAGGCGCCATGCAGTGCGTGGCCAAGACAGTACAATATGTTTTCATTCTAGAATTACGCCCCCTTTAAGAGCACTTGTGTGTGTGTGTGTGTCCCGAAAATTATGCCGACCGATATTTCGTTCAGTGGGGGAAGGGGGGGGGGGGGGGGGGGGGGGGGGGTAAGCTCATTTTTTTTCTTCTCATCTTTTAGCACCAATTAAAAAATTGACAAACAGTGTGGAAGCCCAACAAACAAAATCACGTGAAAATATCAAGGTATCGACTTGAGGTTACGTTCTTCAAACACCTGACATTTACGTAAATGTGTTAATACGTTTATTGCACTAGGTCACTTAAAACACACGTACACTAAATCACGCAATTATTGTCACTGCAACATCACCATTATAATAACGTGATTATTCCTACCTTGGAGACCATGGTTTGTAAAACCTAATACTCCCGTGTTTGTTTGGTTATGAAATTACATCTTCATAAACGAAATTATCGCGTTACAGAAACACGTGAAGCGTTAGTGATAGTTTTAGTCAAAATATCTGCGTGAAATTCACGTGAATATTACGAGGCTGACTTGAGATGAATCATGTTCTTCATTCACGTGAAATTTACGTTGAAGAGGAAATATGTTACTATAACCCGCGTTCAACCCAATAATTACGCAAATGTTACACAATAAATGAACCAAAATAATGACGTTCTCATCCCGTTTCTGAACACCGTGTCTTGGATCTTCCATAATTACGTCCAGGCGCGCCGGAAGCAGTTTGGGATAAGAGGGGTGGTGGGGGATTGGGGGGAGGGTGCAAACATCCCAGGAGAGAAAGCTAGGACATAGTATCTTTAAAAGGGACATAGTATCTTTAAAGAGAAGATGGAACAATGATCACATGTTTCGCTTATCAGTTTTGACATGATAACATTGGAAAAGTTTTGGATTTGATAACTTGCGTCACATCTCGTTTGGCGGCATTCTTGCGAATTTGGACGCCTATAATCGCTTATATAAGAAATATATTCGTTGTGGTAATGTAAAACTAGAGCAAGCGGTCTGTTAGGAAGGGGAGACAAAATTTGTGTGTTTTTAGAGGACTGTTTTTATTGCCGTATTTATTTACGAGCCTGACTTGTCCGTAAGCTGGAGATACAATCAGTATTGCCCAGGTTCTTAAAGAGAAGGTGAGTTCTGGGAAGAGGTGAAAAATAATTTGTGAGCGTTACTCATTCTTATTATGCAAGTGTGGAAGAACATCAGATAAGACATGTTCCCTGAAAAGCATGGCTCTTCAAATGCCTTCATATTCTAAATATGCATGTAACATCGTAAAAATCGGGGGGGGGGGGGGGGGGGGGGGCCGGCTTTTTACGCCCGTGTTCGTGTAGTCCCATATACATCTTTCTGTGTACAGTGTTTTTAACTTACCAAGACTTGGCCAAATTTCTTATCATTTGATGATTCCAGAACCTTGCAATACACACAAATTCTTATATGCTAGATGATCAACCTTTTTCTGGTCGGTTCCTCACCGTTTCTTTCACAATGCAATCGCATGACCAGAACTCAAAACTTCATCTTTAAGCGGGAAGTCATTTGGGCTCATCACGTTTTCGGTTGGGAATGGGGGGGGGGGGGGGGGTGAGCGGCCGGGCCCCCTATTGGTTCCTTACAGATCGCTCTCGACATAATTGCTCGAAGTAATGAGTTACATTCATTGTTGTTGTTTTGTTTATTATATTACTTTGCTGACCAGTTTGATTGAAAAAGAGTTAATTTATGCTAATCAGCTCTCAATAAATACCATGGTCAATCGCACATACAAATACAAAATTGTGACTTCTTCATTTGTCTCAGAGTGGGAATAATACATTTTAGTGAACTGTACAAGAAGCTAAAAAAGGTTATTCCCAATCTGGACGGAGAAGTGTGAACCGACCCGAGACCACACGCCTCGAGGTCAAGGGAGGGGGTCGCAGAAGTATAGGCGTCAGCAATAAAACCAGAAAGGTTCGCGCCATACACCGCGTGCTCTCAGCTCGCTTTATTCTTTCTATGGTCTTCATGAGAGATGGTCAGATTCGTGAACAAACTTTTTACCACCTTCCCACCCTAGCCGCCATTATTGGCCGGCTGGCTAGACATACAAGTGATGAACTATAAATGTACAGTCACAGCTGTGTTACAGCTGTTTATGTGTTAGCTCAGGGATCTAAAGCCTTACTTGATTCGCTCCCAGTCAGGGTTGCGTCTGCAATGACACTCCCCCTGTCCACACACAACATTTTCCGTGATTAGTCATGATTAGCTATACCGTTTCGCGATAGTTTACGACCAAAATTGTAGGTGTGGACGCTCACTAACGATACGTCGTATAACGAAACTAGTCTAACGAAACGCAGGTTTGGGCATCGTTTCGAACTGAAACTCGATAAAGAATCACTAGTCACGGACATTTGTGTGTGGACGGAACTAGTCTAACTGGGCGGGGCTTAACGTGACCTCGAGCGAAAGGAGATATGAGCTCTCATTTCTGCTTCAGCTGACCGCTGCGCAGTCAGCTGATTATACATAAATTTTTATACTGCATGCATTGTTCCAGTGGCACAGTCAATGCAAATACTAGTACTACAGCCTTTTCACACACAGCTAAAATTCATCGTATCTAGAGATGATTAGAATCATCGTAAAGTTTTAAACATGTTTATAGACAAAATTTCCCAATGTGAACATCGTTTATACGATGTTGGGATAGATACAAAGTCGCGATCCATACGCCCCTAAAAGCATGCAGATACGAAGTTCGTATCTAGTGAGCTTGACATTTGTGTGTGAAAGGTTATTCGTGTTTAAACGTGTTTAAACTGGATGGAGCGTGCGCTTGATTGATGTGACATGACCTTCAATGCGCAATGGCACTACTGCGCATTTTACGAGCAGTAGTTAATCACGAAACGATTAACGATCGCACCGAAATTTCTGTGTGTGAAAGGCTCGTGATAGTTTAACACGTTCGAAACACGTTTATACTAGTCATGTTTATAGAATTTTAGCTGTGTGTGAAAAGGCTGCTAGTGGTGCTGCCACATGTGTTTCTGTTTCGGTTTCGACTGCGCAGTAGCAAACTGCGCATGCACCTATACGACGTTTCGTTATAGAGTTTCGGGATAACTTTTTTGGGTGTGTGGACACCCTGGAATTTATACGATGATTCTTTAGTGACGCCGTTTCTTGTGTGTAGACATCCTGGAATTTATACGATGATTCTTTATACGACGTATCGTTTATAGAGTTTCGGGATAAATTGTTTTGTGTGTGGACACAATGACTGTATCTCAGTCCCTTTCTTTATTCATTATCACGTGGATAACTGATTTTCTTCGACTTTTAATTTTCCGGCTTTTAGAGCATTCAAAAGCTACTTCGAGCAATTTTTCTATTGCATGTGTATAATGGGATCGATTCGATCGAAGCCGATGGGGCGATTTTTGTACATTAATCTTTACAGTGTTAGTGGTTAGTTAGTGGCGAGAATTTGATGACGATCTACTCACGCAAGGGCTACGCCTGGTCGCGTTCAGAATCATAACACGGCCTTGCGGGGCTTTCCCCAATCTTATTTTCCAAAACTCGAACTTTGCATACGGTCAGATGTTACATTTGGTGTACAATTAGCCCTCGTTTTATCAATCGGCTTTCTGACCTAAAGAGTTTGGTTTTCGAGAGGTTGGTTTTCACCCGCATTTGAGTGGAGTAGACAATGTCATCAAATTCCTGCCCTCATGTTCCAAAAGATATTTGGGATGTGCATATTTAACTCATCTTCATTCAATTTGTTCATTTCGCGGCATTCTTGCGAATTTGGACGCCTATAATCGCTTATATAAGAAATATATTCGTTGTGGTAATGTAAAACTAGAGCAAGCGGTCTGTTAGGAAGGGGAGACAAAATTTTGTTTTTATTGCCGTATTTATACAATTTTACGAGCCTGACTTGTCCGTAAGCTGGAGATACAATCAGTATTGCCCAGGTTCTTAAGCGGGAAGTCGTTTGGGCTCATCACGTTTTCGGTTGGGGAATGGGGGGGGGGGGGGGGGGGTGAGCGGGACCCTGTCCGTTGAAGCTGAGATTGCCTGGCTTATGCCGTGTGTAACGCTCATGGTTTCCGGCGGGAAGTCATCTTCGCTCACCCATGCCTCTTGTCTGTGCAAAAAAGCCGCAAGAGATGGGGGGAAGCCCGTTCGCATGGCCAGGCGAATGGAAGAATAATGTTACGGTAGTCAATTGATATTACTTTGTCGCCCGGCCGGGCCCCCTATTGGTTCCTTACAGATCGCTCTCGACATAATTTGCTCGAAGTAATGAGTTTACATTCATTGTTGTTTGTTTTGTTTTAATTATATTTACTTTGCTGACCAGTTTGATTGAAAAAGAGTTAATTTATGCTAATCAGCTCTCAATAAAGACCATGGTCAATCGCACATACAATACAAAATTGTTGACTTTCATTTGTCTCAGAGTGGGAATAATAGTTATTTAACTTGCATGGTTATACTATTTTTTCTTGATTATGTTCATGTGCATAAGTCTGCACAATTTATAACTTTAACTTGCATGGTTATACTATTTTTTCTTGATTATGTTCATGTGCATAAGTCTGCACAATTTATAATTTGACAGTTGGTTTTATGTGCATAAGTCTGTACTAGTAACGAAAATAAAGCATTTAAGGTATGGTTTCAGTATTGTTATATGTTATGCCTGTCTTTTTGTTAGAATAATTCTTTTCATAGCTGTTTTCACCAATGTTATGATAGACATAAAAGCAATAGGCTTCGATATTAATATATTAGAGAGGGAGAGTATAAGCCCCCCCCCCACCCCCCCCCAAAAAAAAAAAAAAAAAAATGTTTAGGGTCTTGCCTTTTTTTAAATAGAAAGGAGGAGGCCCTTTTTTGTCTTCTTTCTTTTCAAAATGGCCTCTCAAAGTAAGGTTATATTTGAATATATGAATATTTGCGTTGGTACGGTGAGGTGGAGATCAAATTCAAAATTAAATCGGCCAGATTCTGGACTAAATAAACCAGTATGTCGCAATGATTATGGACAAGTTACGACCTGGGTAGTCATTCGTTTACGGTAAGCC